CCGCGGATCCCGACGAAGCAGACGAGACAGACAGCGACATACCATCTCCAGTTTGCTCAGCAACATCATCCCGCATATTTCTCACAGGCACAGCATCAGCCTTTCAGAATCCCTCAGTGTCCCAGATCTGCTGTAGTACTGTCTAGCCGCTTTTGGAACATCCAAGCCGCCAACGTAACTGCAAGCCTTGGCCACCATCAGCCCATAATCTGAGACACCCTCAGAATCAGCGTGCAGAGTCTGGTCAGACTCAAACCTACCATATGAGTCCGGGGGCTCAGCGTGACACTGTTCAGGCTTCACATTCTGCATCACTTGACCCAAAGACATGCTTCCACCTTTCCGAACAACACATCCAGCAGCATAGATCATAGCTGCGAGCGTATACACCAAGCAGCCACGGCTCCTGCGTTCAAGAAACTTGTCATTAACCATCAACCCAAGTCTCATGCTGCTTTCAAAATCTTTGTTTGCCAAAACATGTTTCCCGAATATTGAACGAAAACTTGGGCCTTGGGCGAGGGGGGTCGTTCCAATCTTCCCACTGGACGTCAAGTGAGGAACACTCTCTTTCATCTTCGTGGTGACCCCCTCAAATTGAGTGCGCGTACAGTGTTCAGCAGCATTCATGACACCAAGCTGAATATCAGTCGGTGACAACAATTGCTCCACCAAATACCAGGCCATAGCTCCGACGACACCACCGTCGGAAGCATAGACCACGGTCACGAAGCCGCTGGCGCCTTTCTTCGAGAGGCAGCCAGCAAAAGACTCGAGGGCGTACTGGCGGTCGACGTCTCAGGGGTTCAGCATTCAGCTCCTGAAGGGAGCTGAAAACTTTGATCTCCGTTTGACCAAACGAGTTCCCTCCTGCTCCGTATCGCACATCCAGCCCAGAATCAGCATCGACCTGATGGTCCAATATGTTCACCGGGTTCAGGTGAATCCTCGTACTGATAGATTCACTGTTGTGAACATATCCCTCTGGGGATATTGATCGCAGAAGCGTTTTGATCGTCGCTTCTGCGTACGGATTCTGATACGGGACGTCTCCTCCCGCATCATTGAAGTTGCCGCCTCTGTAGTTCGAGACGCTGTCCTTTAAGAGTCTCGACGAAACCTCGGCAATTGCCAAGGATGGCAGAACCTCATCCCCAACACATGGGGCTCCAGTTGTACAGTCGATGTGGTACCGGCCTTTACCACATCCCATAAGCATAGATGCTTTGCACCTATGTGCCCTCAACTCCTGACGCTGGGATTCCTTGACCATCGAAGTCCTGACCACAACAACAGCCAGAGGCTTCTCAGTCCTTGGGAACTCCTGGACATAGAAGTCCTCATACCCAAATCCTTCAGGAATCGCATCCATCCGTTGAATAAAGTCCAGAGATTTGAAATCATAGTCCGCATCATACTTGAAATAAGTATGACTCTTCGGCTTTCCAAGCTTCTGGTTCTCGTCTTCATCACCAAACAACAAAGCAAGCTTTCGCTTTTCTGGACCGTCGAGCTCCTCACCATCCAGCTCTTGGTCCCCAAACTCAAGGGCCTGCATGGGCTGACCTTTCGTCCTCGTCTTATGACTTAGAGTCAATTTCATCTTGTCACTTCCAGGGTCTACAGTTTTAAGATTAAGGTGTCTATAAGCCTGCTGTCAGAAGGGCTCTATGGTTTATGGTTCTGTAGGGTCTTAGAGTTAGAGTGTTTACAGCTTGCGGTGGTCGAAAGAACGGGCTTGATTATTTCTCTAATCTAAAAATATCTAAACCGAATTGTATTCCAAACCCTCCGAACCCGAAGCCCTGAACCCCGAACCCTGTTGGCCTGACCGAGTACCGATTTGTGACTAACCTTCGCAAGCATGGCATACTATCCAAACAGGCACCGAGTCAAGCAAGACGGACTGATAAGTTCACTTTGTCTGCGTCCCTTGTTGTGTAAGGTCTTTGCCACTATGTTGGAATTCACCCGAGTAGCAAGAGGCCGAAGCCAGCCTGCTAGATTATGCTGTGGTGTAGGCTTTTAGGTTTTAGGGGGGTTTAGGGTTTGTGGTCGCTCAGTGCTACTTTGAGGGCACTGCAAAAACGCTGGTGCGGTGCAATCGCGTGTGACAAACCTTACCTGCCCGAGGCTAGCATGCACTTGGTAGCTTGAACTGGTTCGGGCTTCGGGTTAATACGTGGGTGGTTGTCAAAATTATGGCCCCTTATTGGGTACCCTAAATATTAGGTGCGGTATTATAAAAAAGGGGCCCTAATTTTGACAGCCACCCACATGAGGCAGGCCAGGGATTTTGGGGAGGAGAGCTGAGTGCCCGACTTCCCGTGTGCCACACGAAAGTCCAGGGCACCGTTGATGCCGGAAATGTCCGGCCCATAGCCGGCCATGGGAGCTGCTCTCTGAATGGCTTACAGGGAACTCCAAAAAGTTGGAGTATGGTTTCATGGTAGGATACCCTATAATGTACCATAGAAGGGTTAGGATAATCATATTCCAACTTTCTGGCTTTTACTTTAGGGATGAAAGGGGTTAGGGACTTTCTTGTGTTTGGGTTTGAGCTGTAGTGCCCTACAGGCTAGCGGGTCTCTTGTGCTCCACGGATTTCTGAATCTTACTCGTGTGATACGAGGTCTGTAGCTGCGGAGCTGGGTTTCGGAAGGGTTTGACTATGAGGATTCGAATTTCAGGCTTCGGGTTTGGGTTTCTAGCTTGCGCTTAGTAACTTAGGGTTTAGCGCTTATGGCTTGGAAACCTCTGGCTAAAGCATGCAAGTCTTCCATGGTGCTCGAAGCTTGCAGAAGCATCGCGAAGCAGAAGAGCTCTTGGTTCGGGATATGAATGCAGGGAAATCCTTATCAAAGACGGGAAACGACAAGAATTGCGTTGAAATAACCAAGAGAGCCAACGTGTGGGTTTTTGATTTCATCACAGTTCCTCTGAGAAACCGTGAAGACTCTAATAGCGGGCTGCTCCATGCCAATGCATCATCCCCAAACCGCGGCACCCTAAAACCCTAAACCCCCGAAACCCTAAACCCTAAACTACTAAATCCCTAGACCCTAAACCCCAAAACCACAAACCCTAAACCCCTAAATCCCTAAATCCTTAAACCCTAAACCCTTAACCGACCCTGCCGAACCCGGATGCCCGTAGCATCCTGATCCTGGAAAGCTCAGAGGACAAGTTGTGAGGAACATGCACGACGACATCTTAGGTACGGCCCCCATACAGTAAGAGTCTATAATAGGGCTACTATTAAGGTCCTACTATATCTATATTATGAATACTATTCAACTATTACTGAGTGGGGGCCGTACCTAAACGACATCAAACTTTTCGACCTCTAACCCCGAAAACACAATAGTTTAGCCTCAGACGAATCTTAAAGTCGAAGTTACCCTCCACCCTAAGCCCTAAACCATCTTAAAGCCTGAGCTAATTACTACTCCTTCAACACTACTGTCCCTACGCCTTGAACACTAAAGTCCATTAGTCCCGATCACTGGGACTCTGTAAACCCCAACTTTTCCTCGAGAATCTTCTGGGCTCGGAGAAGAACTTTCAAACCTGAAGCCGGACCCTAAATCTGAAACCAAAAGCCATCGGGCTGAAAATTATATCTTACAGGGAACTCCAGAAAGTTGGAATATGGTTTCATGGTAGGATACCCTATAATTTACCACAGAAGGGTTAGGATAATCATATTCCAACTTTCTGGCTTTTACCTTAGTGCCTCGGGCACTTCGCGATAAACCGATGAAGGGCTGAGGTAGGGCAGTTAGGATTTGCGGTTCAGGCTGAGGACTTGGCGACTTGGGCTAGGGCGTGTACAACTTGCTGAGAGGGTCTTGAAGGGGTTTAGGGTTTAGGATTTAGGGTTTAGGATTTAGGGTTTAGGGTTTCTTGAAGGCAGCGAAACCAACTTTGCGCAGGTGATATGCTAGGCCTGTATTCAAGGCTCTGCAGCCACACCTAGCATGCAACATCTCTGCTCTGACCAAAGAACCAATAAACGTGCATACAAGACTCCCACAGCCTGGCACCCAAAATCCTGAAGACTAACCTTCAGCAAGCACAACAAGGAAGAAGGCCACGAATTTGTTGCTCTCGCATGTGAAACCTTCGAAACCTGGCTTAAGAAAGTGATCGACACCTGGGGGAGCTAGGTAGGGACCCAAAAAAGCACATAAGCAAAAATTAGGATAGGGATATCCCATATGAACCCCCTTATAATGAAACCCAATAAGGTAGGGATATCCCTATAAAATGCTTATGCTTATGTGCTTTTTGGGTCCCTAACTAGGGAGCACCCTAAATATTAAGTGTCGTAAAAAATATTACAACAAGGAGGGGCCATCATCTTGACAACCACCCATGTACAGCTTTCGACATGCTGTCTACCACGGCGTCAGCTTCCGGAGCGGGTGGCCCTGGCAAAGACAGAAGCTTCAGGATCTTTGGTTTGGGGATCCGGGCGTTGAAGCCCACGGCTATGTAAGGTGTAGGGTTTTGGGTTTAGGGTCTATGGTCACAGAGCCTGTCTGAGGTTCAGGGTTTTGGATTTTATAGCTTATGGTCATAGAGCCTCCTGTCGAATGGATCCGAGGTAACTACGAACTGCCCAGACAAAACCACCAGGCCCAATACCAGGTGCACTAAACCCTAAACCGCGTAAACCTATACCCCAAAACCCTCAACCGAGTAGATACACCAGAGGGCCATGGGAAAGTCTAAGCGACCCAAGGATGCGGAAAACCATACAAAGCATCAGCGGCCAGATGTGTCTTCAGGGATGGAGATGAGATATTCATAAAATCAGTCCCACTATGGCACCCACCCCAAGCATGCTGCTTCTGACGGGATGAAAAGCAGTCGACTGTTCCTCGCGTAGCTACACGTGGGAAGGACGGTTTCAGAACTCCAGAGCTCTGTCGGATTTTTTCTGTTCCAAGCTGTTGAAGTCTTTGACCGCTGGATATCACACACCCCTGACGTGTCTAAAACTCAACCGCAAGTCTGCGCGAAGGATCCTTGCGGTTCATATGCCGCAAAATTTGCCAGGCAAGGCCATTGTAGGTCTTCATCCTGGGCAGGTCTGTCTTTTTCGAGTACTCCTGCATTGCGGCGAAGACTTCCTCCCTCGATGCAGACGCATCGGTAATACGGTTTGCGCGTGCGAAAGTTGCGCGAAGCAGTGAATCCGATGGTGGCATTTGCCACTGTCCGCTACTGCGGCTAGAAAGGAAAGCTTGCTCGAACTTGTGCTGCAGCTGTTCGACACGCTCGCCATGTTCAGGGAGTGCTTCCAGCTTTCGCAGGAGTCTTTTGTTCGTCGATATGTTCGCAAACACCAACATCGCCTCGGAAACATCTGAATTTAAGTGGCTGTCCAAGAAGCCCAGTCGTCTCAAAGCCTCCATGGCCATGTGGGATGAAGGGGTCAAGATGAAGGGACCTCCAGCGTGAGATATGCTCCAGCCAAGCCCAGTTCCGTACTTGTCTCTGATTGCTTTCTGTCGTCCTCGCTTTCCTGCGTTGGCGTACCCCAGCGGAAGAAAGAATGCAACGTCCTGCCTCGCTCCTCGTGCCAAGCCCGAAGTGACAAAGCGATACGACTCCAAAAAGCAGGAAGTTGCTGGATACACCGTAATTGGGCCTAGAGAGTTCGTGAAACACCACTTGGCGATGCAAGACTGCAAGAACTCGCTGCCAGTGGGCATATATCCGGCGCTTGACATAAATTCTGTGAGGACGGCAACTTCTTGGGGCAATGATCTGTGAGGGATAGGGCTGCAATGTTGCACAAATCCTGTGCCGTCAGACTGTAGGACCGCTCTCACCTTATATGTGATCTTTTTGTCAGGATCCAGTGGCACAACCAATACTCCAGCCTGCTTGTATTTCTGCGCTAACCCATAATACTTCGATGATGTGAAAATCAAGGCCTCTTTCCCTGTCAGGACTATCTTCCGCATGTCCTGGACAAAATCATCATCTGCAGCGAGCAGGGCAACACGACCCGTCCCAGCTTTAGTGGCTAGAGTGCGCAAGTGTTGCTTTACCGCTCGATCGTTAGGTTCTTCGTACAGGCCATAGCGGCGCACAGACTTGAACTCGAATCCACGCCGGCTTATCAGGTCTTTCCACGCTTTGTTGTTCATCCTTCCAGGCTCGGCGAAAATTGTAGTTTGCACCCGCGCAGACTCAGAACGCAAGTGGTCAACAGCTCCAAGTATGAAGTCCATGGAGAGCGCATCTCCATCCACAACCAGCTCAGTCACCCCTTCATGCCGCGATGTGTCGGATCTGGCCAAGGCCTTGGAAAAAGCTGCTGTTGGTCGCCTTTTTGACCGAAACCTGCCCTGACGGCAAGATGCAGCGTACGCCGCCACAGCGAGTCCTGCCAAAATACCAGCTGGAAGGGGCTTCCTGCTTCTAATCCCGACAACATGTTGCTCAAGGAGTTCATGCGTCTGCGGGAACTCACCAACAGGTGGCAGTGTCTTCAAGCCAGCAGTGATCATTGCCTGAAAGTCCACGGCCTAAACCTAAACCGGCTTCAAACCACAGCACTAATGACATGGGAGTTTCCGAAACTGGGGGACCCTAATATAGTACACTAAATAGGAGGATCCTTATTATAGGAACCCCAAAATAAGGTACCCCTAATTTTCGGAAACTCCCACATCTGTCCCCAAACCACTGAGAGACAATCGCCTCCTGCTTGAGCTTGTGACGTTGCCGAAGCGCCGCAGTGAGGCAGCAAGACTCCATGGGAGTTTCCGAAAATTGGGGGGTACCTTATGTGGGGGGTCCTTGTAATGAAGATCCTACAATTTAGGGTATTATATTAGGGTCCCCTATCTTCGGAAACTCCCAAATCTCACGAAACCCGCCAAAAGTACCTGGCCATCATGTCCTCCAACCTCAGGTCCGAACACCCAAAAGCTCGAACGTCTCACACCCTAGGCACCGAAGAATTGAAACTTCCACCTCGAACTTCAGAACGCACAGGTCCAAATCTATCGCCTCCTGATGCCAAGAGCGAAGATCCCAAGAATTGAACCTGCGAGCCTTCAAACTTCAAACCAAGTCCAAAAAAAATCAAAACACTTAGCTGCAAGCTCGAAAACTTTCACAATCTGCAGCAGAGTTTAAACTCCCAAAATGGAACCGAGGCTTCTCGCACTAAACCCAAAATCCTAAACTGCAAGATTTCGGGATGTGAGCGCAAGACTTCGTGTCCAACAGTTGGGATTAAGTGGTGGTAGGGTCCGCATATTTCGCGCTTTTGGACTGTGACTAATGGTGTATCTTCCGATTATGTTCCTATGGGGGTTTAAGAGGTGCTTTCTTGAAATTTGCAGATGGTTCAGGTGTTTTCTTCGGTCCGATGACGGTTCCGTACGAGTCTGGCCAGAGCCCAGGGATCTGCAGCAAGGCAAGGCTTACCCTGCTGTCATTGCTGCACGGGTGCAGCTCCGCTCAAGTTTTCTGCTTCAGGCTGCAACAAACGTCGACCGCACCGTCTACAACTGAACCGCATCTCTGCGCTTGGGATCCTTGTGGTTGATGTGTCGCAGAAGTTGCCAGGCAAGGCCGTTGTAGGTCTTCATCCTGGGCAGGCCTTTCTTCTTGGAGTGCTCCTGCATTGCGGCGAAGACTTCCTCCCTCGATGCAGACTCAGCGGTGATACGATTTGCAATCGCCAAATTTGTGCGAAGCTGTCCATCTAATGGGGGAACCTGCCACTGTCCACTGGTGCAGTTGGAGAGGAAAACTTTTTTGAACTTGTTTTCCGTTTGCTCGGCAGTTTCGCCTTGTTCAGGGAGTGCTTCCATCTTTTGCAGGAGCGTCTGATTCGTTGCCACGTTCCAAAACACCAACATTGCTTCAGACAGATCTGAATTTAGCTGGTTGTCCAGGAAGCCTAGTCGTCTCAAAGCCTTCGTGACCAGGTCGGAGGAAGGGGTCAAGATGAAGGGACCTCCAGCGCGAGATATCCTCCAGACATTCGAAGATCCATACTTGCCAATAATTCTCTTCAGTCGGCATCCTCTTAATCCCCTGGAGCTGCACCCTAGAGGAAGAAAGAATGCAGCGTCCTGTCTCTCCTTCCCTGCCGAGCCCCCGGTAATGAAACGATACGACTCGAAAAAGCAGGCAGTTGCTGGGTACACTGTGACTGGGCCCAAACAATTTGCAAAAAACACCGACTTGGCGATGCACAACCGCAAGAACGCGCTCCCAGTTGACATAAACCCCCTACTTGTCAGGTATCATGGGGAACTAAAGGTTAACCTTTTGGTTATATAGGGATTATGTAAGGGCTATACTACCCCCAAAAAGGTTAAAGGTTCCCTATTCGACTACTAGGACCCCGACCTTGACAAGAATTCTGTGACGACGGCAACTTCCTGGGACAACGCTCTGTGAGGGATTGGGCCGCAGCTTTGCACAGATCCTGTGCCGTCAGACTCGATGACCGCTCATACCTTATATGTGATCTTCTTGTCAGGATCCAGTGGCACAAACAACACTCCAAGCTCCTTGTAGTTTAGTGCCAACCCATAATAATTACTTCGTCAAAGTCAGAATCAAGGCCTCCTTCCCGGCCAGAACTGACTTCCCCATGTCCTGGACAACATCATCATCTGAAGCGAGTAGGGCAACGCGAACTGTACCAGCAGTAGTGGCTACAGCGCCCAAATGTTGTTTCAACACTCGAACGTTATGTTCCTCGTACATGCCGGTCAAAGTTAGGCATCTGACTAGGAACCATGGGAAGAGTCCAATCGCATCGTAAGCTCTGCGAGCAGTGCTCACCATTCTCGTTGGCAATGTACACCAAGGCAGCCTCGGGAAATGCTGACGGCGGCGGGTGCCATTGCGATCTGAAACCGCGCCGCACCTTACTCCGTTCGTTGGCGGAGCAGTAGAACATCAATAGCAAACTGCCTGGCCGAGGCATCGCCTGCCACATCCAATCGCTCAAAGTTTTTTGTTGGAGCAGCTAGGCTCCAAAAAAAGACTTTGAGCGATTGGATGTGGCAGGCGATGGCTGCTCCACACTCCACAACAAGGAGTTGATCATCATGTGGGAACTGCTTCGGACGAAAGCTGACACATCACGGCATCACGGTCTTGCAAAGCATCGCCCATGTTTGCCAGGGCACATCCAGGTTTCCAACTGCTGCAGTACGTGGGAGCGACGCCACGCGCTGACACAGGCAGTCATCGGCAGCCGCGGTTCGTCAGTGGAGTTGCCGAGATGTCTGTGTTTGTGGTTTGCCGAGCATGTCCGGGGCCGTCAAACTTGTCAGGGGTGTGCGGCAAGGCAACCCTTCTTTGCGCAAGTAGGCGTCAGGATTGACTGGTTTTGGGCTTGCTGTCGTTGGGGCTATCAGGCAACTCCTATACGAGAATTGCTCTGTGTAGTCGTACTGCGATTATTCCGACCTACCACGTTTACTCGCACGGTGGATTGTCAAACCTGCTGCTGAAAATGCGACAAGCAACTCAGAGAACAGGCTGCATTTTATACAGGCAGCAGGCAGAGCCTTGCACAGTAGCCTTGCACTTGCAGCCTGCAGTGCTCATTGCGGGCCCCCCGCACCTATCCTATTCCGGGCAACGAAACCTAAGCCCCAGGAATCTTAAACCCCAAACCCTGTTAGAAAGCCCAGACCGGATGCCTGTAGCTTGAGCTTTCGAACTTGCCGTGAGATAGCAGGACTACATGCTCCAGGCTCTGAATGAAACAATCGATCCGTGCTCAATCCCGCTTTCTAAACAATAAAGGCGAAAAATCCGTTCCCGTCATCTCTGTAGACTTCAAATCCGAGCACCCAAAAATCTCCTAAGTCTGACCATGCTAGTCCCCAAAGCATCCGAACTCCGACCTCGGTATTCAGAACGTAGCGGTCCAAATCGAATGCCTGGCACTTGCATCGTGGTTGCACAGTTCGGGAAAATCCTAAGTTTCGTAAGCATACATGCTGCTTGAAGCCTGAAGGAAGTTTGGCACAACCCTGAACCCTAAACCCTAAAACCCTAAGCCCCTAAACCTTAAACCGTTAACCACTAAACCTACAATCGCCCCTAAACCCTAAACCCCTTAACCCCTAACCCCCTAATTCCCTGAACACGAAAATCGCCTCAAACCCCTAACACCCGAAACCAACCCCGAAGCTCTAAACATGGGCTGGGTTTCCGGTTAGGGTTTAGGGCTTAGGGCTTGGGGTTTCGGGCTATAGGATTTTAGGGCTTTAGGCTGTAGGGTTTAGGGCTTAGGGTTTTAGGGTTCTAGGGTTTAAGGCTTTAGGGTTCAAGGGTTTTTAGGGTGCGGAGTCGATTCTTAAGGAAGGCAGAAGATTTAGTGCGCAGGTTGAGCATCGGGGCTTTGGGGGGCATCGAAAAAGTCGCAGGTCAGGGCTTCGACATGGTTTCTTAGACGAGGTTCCCCAGCATCCCCTTATTGATTAAAGACGATTTAGATGGTTTTATAAGTAAGTATTTAAATAGTTCCATGTAGTTTGATGTTGTTGTTTTAAACTGTTTAGAGATCTTTACACTAGATTCCACAGTAACCCGCTTTATACTGACAGTACCCGTTCTCCTGCTTTTCGTCTCGGGCAGGAGACCTCAAAACAAAAGATCTTCGACTACTGCATTTTTGGGATAGGATTAGACATATACATCTTTCATTCCTTATTGGGTTCAAGTACCCCTAAACCCTAAACCGCCATAAAACTGTAAAATGCTACCCAACTATGACAAAGTCCAAGGGCTTGAGGGCTTCAGGGCTTTCTTGGAGGCTTCAATTACCTGGTTTAGGGTTGAAGGGTTCCTCAAAGGGGTCGATAAGGGATCTATAGCAGGGGTCTATGATATAGGAGCCTTCATAATGTACCCCAACTATGGCTGCAAGTATAGCCCAAGAACCCTGGCAAGGAAATTGACCAGGATATAACTGGGCACAAATACCGAGTTACCCAAGCTACAGGTAACCCTGCTTGAAATAAGCAGACTCGCACCAAGAGCCCGCTTCATCGCAGGTGCGTGGAGGGGAAGAGGGAGGTGTCTTCTTTCTGTGAGTTGAGCAGTCGGGCTTCATCCGGAAAACTTGCTATAGATGGGTGGTTGTCAAAACTATGATTCCTTTTTGGGCACACTAAATATTAGGTGCCGTACTATATTGAGGATCCAAAACGGGACCATAATTTTGACAACCACGCAGATGATGAATCCTTCTGCCGATCCCATGTCAAGACTCAGCGAAAGGAGTCCCGGCCTCATTGGGCGAGAAGAGCAGATAGAGATATTTGAAGGTCTCAGCCATCACGAAGGACTGCATCTCATCCATCTTCTTCGTGGGCACCACGGTTACATCCTGGCAGGGGACATCAGGGGAAAAACAGCAATGCAAGCACTGAAAAAACAAGCCCCACCCACACCCACTCCCCCCGGCCCCGCGCACACACACACACCCACTGCCCCAGATGATGTGATTAGGAGGGTTTAACCACGGTGCCTGAGCCGTGCTAAACTCCAAACGCTAAGCCCCAAGTCGACTTACTGCGGGATCTCCATGTGACCATGAGCTTGCCGAATCCGAATTCAAACCCCATACCCGAATCAACGCACTTCGGGCAACGGTTTCCAATTTCTCTTGGAAGATCAGATTTGGCAGTCCCGAAAATCAAGCCTCATTCCTGATCAGGAAACTCCCCCAACACTCTGTGTTCGCAGTCCCTAAACCCTAAACCCTAAACCCTAAACCCTAAACCCTAAACCCTAAACCCTAAACCCTAAACCCTAAACCCTAAACTCCCCCAACACTCTGTGTTCGCAGAAGGAAAAGCAAACCCAAAGCACGACCAAACTAACAACCCCAAGGCTTCTAAGCTGAACACAAACTCCTGGGTATTATCCAAGGGGAAAAGCAGGGACCCTTAATAAGGACCCCAAGGTATATACCCGTAGTATAGCTATTATATACCCATTATATAGCCCATTATAGGGTAGGGTAAGGGTCAATCCTTTTACCCTTGAATATTAACACCCCTTAACCCTCCCGGGACAGCCAAGTTAATCGGCTGCTTAAAAACCAGCAGCCTGTCCAACCCCCCAGAGCCTCCAAAACCCCTCAATTAAGGAATATACCTTAATGTACAATAGGATCTCTAATATGATTTATATATTGCTTAATTAAGGGGTTTTGGAGGCTTTGGGCCTAAAGCCCTAAACCCTTAAATTAGGGTTTAGGGTTCAGGCTTCAGGGAGACCGTGAACCCTAAACTGATGTTGCCCTGAAAAAAGACTAGGAGGTGCTTTTGAAGCAATTGAAAAATATTAGTAATTAGCTAAGATCCTCTTAAGCCCAATTAGAGCAAATATAAAATGTCCCAAAGCCCTACCTAGAAGAAGTGTACGGACCTCGACCGAGCCGTAGCCGCCGGCGACTTTGCTGTGCTCCACAATGGATCGGAACAGCTTCTTGCCCCACTTGCGGTATCTCCTTGTCTTAGTGCGTGGCTTGGGTTTCTGAAGAAGAAGGGGACTTGGTAAGTAGCTGGTAAGCCGGCATATTAGTAGGATGATCTGATCTACTTACGAGTCTGTGCATCACCTAATTACTACGTCCCCTACGCCATTAAGTAGGATCTAGGTGGAAAGCAGGGAACCCTCAAAACGTGAGGAGATCTGTATCCTATACTAAAACTCAAGCCCTCTCTGATGTAGGAATCGTAGGCCCTTTTTAGGGCTCTGTTGGTGCCAATACCCCTACTTGTCGGGTATCATGGGGAACTAAAGGTTAACCTTCTTGGTTATATAGGGATTATCTAGGGACTATACTACCCAAAAAGGTTAAAGGCTACGTACTCTACCACTACTACTAGGTCTGGTAGAACTTCGAAGGGCTTGAGGGCATGGGCCTTCTTGGAGGCTTCATGTACCTGGTTTAGGTTTTTTTTTTTTTTTGAGGGCCCTTTTCCTCCCTGCTACAGTCGGAATACCTAGTAGGTAGAGCCTGGTTTAGGGTTTAGGGTTTAAGGGTTCCTTAAAGGGGTCTATCCAATCGCTACACTTGGACGGCAACGAATGCCAAGCCACGTCTGCCCCGTCATCCGGTACCTAGTTCATGGTTGGGATAGGATTTAAAAATGCACATTCTTATTCCTTCTTGGGTTCAAGTACCCATAAAAAGGTAAAATGTTACCCAACTATGACAAAGGTACAGGTAGAAGAGGGACTCTGCGGTCTCCGGACGCAGGTACCTGCGAGTCGGTTTAAGGGTGGAGGGCTTCGGGTTTTGGGGGGTTTAGGGTGGAGGGTTTCGGGCTTCGGGTTTTGGGGTTTAGGGTGGAGGGTTTCGGGCTTCGGGTTTGGGGGTTTAGGGTTCAGGGTGGAGGGTTTCGGGTTTGGGGGTTTAGGGTTTCGGGTGGAGGGTTTCAGGATGGTTTAGGGTTTTAGGGCTCACCTGGACCCTGAATAGCCTACCTCTTTAAGGACCTATATAACGAAATCACAACTTAAAAAGGTAGGTTGCTTAGGGTCCAGGAATAGTCGGTCTGGGGCTAGGGTTCAAGGCTTAGGACGCGAAAAGTCGTAATCGAAGGAGGGTGCTCACGACGGACTCATGCCGATCGACGAGGAGAGGGTGACGGAGCTTCGGGGTCCCGTGCTTAACCAAACTTGAAAGCAAGATTAAGAATTAAGAGCACCTGCATCTTTTCTTTGGGTTTTAGGGCCAGGGTCTCTTAATCAGGTTCCTACAATGTAATAAGGTTCCGAATGCACTCCGACTCTCGGATCAATTCTGCGTCAAGTGCCCCATAAGACAGCCAATCAAACTTGGGGAAACCCCGGGTTCAGGCTTTCAGTAGATCCTACTTGTCGGGTATTGTGGGGAACTGAAGGTTAACCTTTTTGGGTATATAGGGATTAAATATGGAAGGTGACCTACTCTACTACTCGGAGATTGTGCAGCTTTCAGAAACACAGTGTTTGGGGCAGCGAAACCCTAAATCTTTAACCTCAGGGCTTATGAAGCCTAAGGCCCAAGGAATCCTAACGCCTAAAGCCCTAACTTGGAAAAACTCCTACACCCTTCACTAGAGCAACAAACTCCCCTCAGCATCATTTCCGGGCTGTCCGTGTCGGGAAATAGACAGTGCCCTGTATGGCCAGTCTTTCGATAGGGGGTGTCCTGCCGCTTCAAAGGGTGGCGAGACCTCGGAAGTTAAAGAAGACAACCCTAAACCCTAAACCCTTAAGCGCCAAACCCCTAAACCTAAACCCTTCTCAAGAAGTTCTGGAACCCCGACCCCTCACAGAAGCATTACTGAAATCCCAAACCCACGACGGAACCCCAACCCATTACCTAACCTTTGCAGAAACTCTAAAGCAACTCCAAACCATACCTAACATGCCCAGGTGCGAATGCTGCGCCCCACGAGGAATCGTCTTCTCGCCACTTTTCATCTTGTCCAAAAAGACCTGAGCTCCCGGGTTACCTGGACCGTAAAGAACATATTTTTTGACTTCATCATACCATTCCTTAAAAGGTAGGTTATTTAAGCTTTGGGCTTCAGGTTTAAGGGCTTTGGGCTTGTGCAGGGTCTTATAGAGCCTTCGAACAGGGCTCTGGGGTTTTAAAGAACATCATTGAGTTTCGGGATTGTGTAAACTCAAACCTGAAAAAAAAAACGAAGCCGATTACGGTACGGGTCCTTCGTTGACGGCTTGCCGGGTTAGGGCCTGAAGTCGCAAAGCACGGGGTTGGGGTTTACGGATTGGAGCTTAGGGTAAACATGCAAGGACGGAACGTGGAACTCGTGAAACTTCTTGAGGACAAACCTGTAGAAGCATATCACCGCACACATGGATTCAGTGTACTCGAATTTGTTGATACCAGGGTTGCTCACGGGGACTATAGGGTGCAATCTTCAACGAAAGTTTGACGTGAAGAAGACAACAGAATTCAAACATCTTTGTGCTTGCTGGGATGCTTTGGAGAAACCCAAAACCCTAACCTTGAGCCCTGAAGAACCCAGAGGCTCCAATATCCTAATTAATTAAGGACTACTCCTTACATCATATTAGGGGTCCTACTATATATTAAGGTGTATTCTTTAATTAAGGGAGATTGCAGTCTCTGGGAATGAACACATGACCCTTAGCCTGGTGGCATTAAACCGAAACACGAGCGGGGAACATCAAGGGTCCTTTTGGGGTATACTGCGTACCATCAGAAAGGACCCATCTTAAGGCCCTGTGCTTTCTGTAAACCCCATCTTCAAGCGTCCTTGTTAGGGTCTAGGGGTTTAGGAATTTAGTGTTTGGGGTTTGATTGAGGGTTTAGGGTTTAGGGGGGTTGGGGTTTAGAATGCAAACTTCTACAGAACTCATTTAGGCTTGGATTGTTCTCATTGTATGCTCCATTGGTGATGCCCGGGGCGCGCAGGCTTCGGTCTCCAGGTGGAGCGCCAAAACAGCGAAAAGGACACACATCCAGCTGGCCACGTAATGTTGTACTCCTCCCTGGTACACAAGGTTCCGCAAGGACCCAACCTCCTTGAAGGTTCCTCGACTTTCTAAAAAACCAAACTTGGTTAGGCGTTCAGTAACCCACTGGGAAAATTGTATACTTTTTTAAGCTTCTTATTTTATAATAAGAACCCAGAAACCTGAAAGTGAAAAAGTGTACCACTGAACAGCCTGGTTGGTAAGCTAGACCACATAGTATATCAAGGCTGGAATTACCCTAAACCCTAAACCCCTATACCCTAAACCCCTAAACCCTAAAGTCCAAGCCGAGCCCACCCAGCCCACGATCGGTGGCGGGCGAGGCTTGCCGAGCGACAGCGAGCGCTTGTGTCATTGGCATCTTGAAGGATTGAGGGTCGGCTCGATGTGGGTGCCTGCACGCATACACTTCCTGTATATTCATCAGATAGGTGTACACGCTAAAGTCTCCAGCGAAAGGGCTTCTGGCGGTCACTTGTTCTGGCGGTTACCTCCTAGCCGAAACGGCTTCTGGCGGTCACGGCTTCTGGCGGTCTCCACCGAAAGGGCTTCTGGCGGTCACGGCTTCTGGAGGTTACTCCTGTATATTCATCAGATAGGTATACACCCTAAAGTCTCCACCGAAAGGGCTTCTGGCGGTCACTTCTTCTGGCGGCTACCTCCCAGCCGACACGGCTTCTGGCGGTCTCCACCGAAAGAGCTTCTGGCGGGCACTGCAATCGGTGACTGAACAAGACTACACTTTAAATAAATATGTTTCCACATGGACGAACGTCGTGACTTGCTGCTTCTGACCGGCCATAAAGCGTGCACTGCATCTTCACAGATCCTGAAGCCTTTCCCCAGCTCTCGCTTCCTTGACCGCAACGAGTTCTGAGTAGTTTGAGTCTATCGAACAGCATACGGGAACCTTTAAAAGCTCACGTACGTCATGAAACTCATCAACAGTCTGTGAGACACAAGCGGTGGGTGAACAAGACTACACCTCACATAGCTGTGTTGCAACGTGGGCCTCATGAATTTTCTGGTTCTGACCGCTAGAACCCGAACACCTGCAGCTGTTCTGTAACACTCTCAACGAGTCTAAGATCCGAGTACTGTAGCATGGACATGGGCGAACGCCTACTCATGACCAGAGCAGCGTGCACCTCCGACTACTCTGCAGTTTCAATGGAGCTCAGACTTTTTCACGTCGCTGCGAAGACCGGGATAACGTTCTATGTTGCTGAAGTGCGGACTCTCAGGCCGTTTTGTGCTGCTGAAGTGCGGATTTTCAGGCTTTCTGCGTCTTGATCATCTCGTTCATGAGGTCGTGACGACCAACAAATGTGAACCCCTGCACCTTCGGCAAGGCCTGCAACACTGCGGCAGCGGTCACGATAGCATCTTTGAGCACCAGAGCCGTGAAGTGGCCTTGGACGTACTTCAGGCAAAGGATCTTGCTGCTGGTCAGACAGGCCTGAGCTCCTGCCCACACGTGTGGAACTGTCACTGGGGATGGCCAAGCAGACGATCCTCGTCTCGTCATCGCGAACGACTTTGTTGAGGTAGTCTTCGAAGAGGCTCTCGCCGACCTTGGCCTCATTCTTCTCGATGCCGTTCTTGAGGTACTGCAGCAACTCCGTCCTCCACTGCTCGGCCCCTTTGCGGACATCCGTCCGCGTAGTCTCCATGCCTCCCAGCGCGCGGGCCACGGACAAAGCCAAGCAGCACTTCGTGCAATTAGCGAAATCCCTTGACGGTCAATGTCTGCCCCTCGTCGATCTCCTCGAAGAAGCTCTTCAGCTCAATCTCGATCTTCTGGACGAGCTTCTGCATTCTCGCCGTTTCCGCAAAGCTCAAGGCGATGGCATGCTTCTCGCTGGTGTTCTTGCCGTCGTGGAACTCGGTCGTCTGGGTTCTCTGCTTGGGAGTGAACCTCGAAGCTCGCAAAGCTGAGCTTCGCAGTCGTGTCACTCATGATCTCCGGCATTGTGGTCCTGTCGTCAGCACCTTCTGCAACGTCGCCCTCCGGCTCCATGTGTTCCTCGGCGGGCTTGTTCTCCTCGTTCTCGTCGGGGTCGCTATCCGGCGCAACCGAGGGCTCCTGTCGCAGGGCTCCTCAGCAGACTCGTCATCGTCCTTCGCTGCGTGGGTGTACCATGTTTCAGTCCTCGCGCGACGGATGGTGTCCTAATGAAGACTGCCCTTCTTCAAGATTTTTTCTGATTCGGGGCAAACTAGTTCTGGGGTCTATCTCACGCGGCTCGGACTTACAAGAAGCAAACGATGACCATCTCTTCTTTTCGATGGCCGGTGCGGGATTGTAATCGCGAGTATTCCGAAGATCGGCAGTCTCCTCGAAAAATCTCGAGCCACTGCCGCAATGCTCACGATTGAAGTGTATCGCGAGTATTCCCAAGATCGGCAGTCGCCTCCAGAAGATCTCGAGCGACTGCTGCAATGCTCAAGATTGAACTGTGCTGCACTCACAGCCGACTCAGTCGTTTGCCTTCTGCACCTTGCACATCTGATCCTCCAGCTCGGTGCTCCCGATAAAAGAGGACCCCTGAACTGCAGGCAATGCCTTCAAGAGCTTCTTCGTGGGATCGTCGCGGTCCTTGGCCAGAAGCGCCGTGAAGTGACCCGGCAAGTACTTCAGATAGAGAACCTTGCTCTTTGACAGGCTGGCTGCAGGCCCTGCCCAAGCACGCGAGATATTCTGGGTCGGAATGACAAGGCAGACCATGACAGACTCGTCGTCGGTGACAACCTTATTCAAGTAGTCTTCATAGAGTGTCTCCCCTGCCTTTGCCTCGTTCTTGGATTCCGAATGCTCCAAGTAGTCGGGGAGGCCTTCGCCGGCTCGCGCAATGGAGAGTGCAAGGCAGCAATTTTTGTGCTGGACGCCATCGATGGCCAGACACTGGCCCTCGTCTACTTCTTCGAAGCTGCCCTTCAACAACGTGTCGATCCTGTCCAGGAACTTCTCATTCTCCTTCTTCTGGCGGCGGGCGGCATCGATCGTCCGTCGTCTTCTTCTTCAGCAAGCCAGAGCGTGGGTTCGAACTGGTACTGGAATCATTGCTGCGGTTCTTTCTCGTCTTGCCATGCTTGCCGTGCTGCTTCTTCTTCTCGCTTGCCGATGACTTCGCCGAGGACGTGGAAGCTTTCTTTCTCGACTTCTTCACCTTCTCCAAGAATGGGCCACCGAAGTGCGCCTTTTTGACGCCCCCGCTGCTGGCCTCGGAGTCTGCATCCTCGGCACCGAAGCGCCTCTTCTCCTTTGTGCCGCACCAATAGAAGAGGCTCTTGAGAGACTGCGCCAAGCCTTCGCAGAGGCTTTCGTCCGACGGCTCAGCTACCCACCGACGAATGCCCGGTGCCTGCTTGTCCAGCTCGCGGACCATCTTGCTCCATGCCTTTTGCTTGTTGATGAGCGCCCTGATTTCAGCGGCTGCAATCGCAAAGGCAAAGAGGCGCGAGGAGCCGTCGGCCAGCTTGACGAGTGCCTTGCCCAGCTCGTCGGAATTGTCTTCGGGGCAGGCCAAGAGGCTGAAGAGCTTCGCAATGTCCTGGGCCAAGTTCGAGTTGTCGCCTTTGTAGTCCTTCTGGTCTTTCTTGAACAACTCCTCCAAGTCCTTGTGCTTCGCAAGGGCTGCGTCCGAAATCATCCTCATCATCATCATCATCATCCTCACAGAGCTGATGCTGATGATGCTCAAATTCTGCTCGACTCTGCTGCCCGCCGAGAACATAAACGCTATGAGTGTGGTGAAGTGTTAAGAACCAAAACTGTAGAAGCTCGAACTTCGGGTGGTAGGGGTGGGCGTACGAGTCCTCAGCTGGCTGCTTATGCTGGAAACACCCTAAACCCCTAAACCCTAAACTCTAAACCCCTAAACACCAAACCCTATCTGTTCAGTATAGCAGAGGACCTTTCAAGGACACCAGTGGGACATGCAGCCGGTCGTCTGTAACCCTTGATTTCCCACCTTTCCGGTTTAGTGTTTAGGGTTTGGGGTTTCAGGGCGCAGGGTTTTGGATTTAGGGCTTTAGTTAGAGTTTTAGGTTTAGGGCTTAGGGTTGAAAAGGGACACCCTTTACCCCGACCCGATACAAGAACCCTCGATCCTCGCTCAAGCCTTCTCCCCCCTGAACACGCGAAATGACTCCCTGTAACCGAAAAAACCTACCTTTTTGGGGGTTCCTTATTATGGTTTCTATGTATAGTTCCTTAAAAAAGTAAGTCTTTTGGGCCACAGGTCCTGATTCATAAACCCCCGGTTTAGGGCTTGCTAAGGGTAATAGTTTGCAGTGGGAATCCTAATATCAATTCCCTTCAGGGAAGGAGGGTTCACTAGTCAAGCGGCTACCCTCGTTCCCACAATCGTAAACCGAAAGCCCTAAACCCCCAACCCTCAATTCCCTGAAGCCCTGAGCCCTAAACCCTTCCGGGACAAAAAGCAAACTCTGTAACAATTGAATCATATTTATAACATAGTTAATTATAATAGGACCTTAATCGTAGCCTGTTGCTGTATGGGGGCAGTACCCAATCGAAACCCTTCCGGGCACCGGGCAAATTCTGGAGCCAGCCCGGATTTGGTGTCCATCCAGAGGTGAGCACATGTGGAGGTCCTTGGTTCATGTGGGGCTTTCGAGGTTTCGTGTTTCAGGGTCTTAGGACTTTAGAGTTTAGGGTTCAGGGTTTCAGGGCCTGAGGAGTTAAGTGCAGTGGACCTAGGAGTTTAGAGCTTAGGGGTTGAGGGAGTGAAGCTATACTCCCTTTAGAACCATAATAAAACTAATATGTTTAATATTCTCTGGGGTTGTACATGGACAAAAATAAAACATAATTCCTAAGGAGACTAGAGGAACAGGGGCCCGGAACGTGTCTCGAAACCCTAAACCCCCCCCCCCCCCCCAAAAAAAAAAAAAACTACAAAACCCTAACACCTAAAACCTGAACCCTACATTCCGAAGTACTTACAATTTACAACCCTGCACTCTAAACCCCAGGCCTTCAAACCCTAAGTTTTTAAACCCGGAGACTCCAATCTCCCTTAATTAAGGAATACTGAAACTATAGTAGGATCCCTAATCTGATTTAAGGAACCTTAATTCAGGGATATTGGAGTCTCTGGGAACCCTAAACCTTCACTGCAAAGAGCTGGGGCCAGGACAGTCCTGCGGCCATGCGATGCCAAGTCTCCTGAAAAAGTTTAGGGTTGCAAGGATTTAGTAACCCTTGGCCCTAAACCCCTAAAGCCTAATATGCCCTCGGGCTCAAGACTGTCCAGAAGCCTCAGATAGTAATGCAGGGGTCTGATATAAACTAGCAATGATAAACCTTAGGTTCCAACTTTTGGGGTTTAGGGTGTGTGGTCTGGCTTTCTGGAGCCGCTGAGGGTTCTAAGGCTTCAGGTTGGGAAGCTTGCCAAACGTATTTCTAGGTCTTACAGAGTTGTCTGTACTGTTACGTGATAGGCATCTATGTTTTTTATTTGACAGGCTTAGGTTTTAGGGTGTTAGGGTTTCAGGAGTTTGGGGGGCTCAGTGTTGACGGGTTTTATGGTATCTGATGCTAGGGTTTAGGGTTTAGGATGTTCAGAATGGGGTTTGGAACTTGGGTTTTAGTCGGTAGGGCTTGGGGCTCAGGGTAGGGTTTTGGTTTGTGATTCAGGATTCTGGGTCCCGTGGCTTGGCGTTCAGCATGTTCTGTGGAGAGTTTGTGGTCTAGAGACTCTGAACTGTTTGGAGGGCGTCTTTTCTTTCGAGGCATGGGTGTGTCTCCTTCACGTGGTACCGCTTCCCTCAATTCGGAGTGTCTGCGAGTCTCTCCAGATCAGGAATCGCGTATTCCGTGCATAAACTGTGTCCCTAAACTTTGCTTAAATCCGCGAGGAGCCCAAACAGATAACTTAACCATGTAGTCTATGTGAATGCCGGCCAGGCTAGCAGGATGTACCCACAACACAATGAATCAGAAACGTTGCAGCCTCAAGGCTTTGATTGAGAAACACTACAGCCGCAACAAGCCCCAGTAGTGATTTCTCTAGATTCGGGCGGGCTGGAATAAGTCTACGATGAGATTAGAACAGTTTGGGATCCCGACCCTAAAACCCCGAATCCCACCATTCCGGGCCCTGGATCAACCTTAACCCTCGCGGTAAACCCTAAACCCTAAAGCCCTCAAACCTTACACCCTAGACTCCCCCACATTCAGGAAGGCTGCGTTGCGGCTGTTCTGCAGCAGCTCATCGTCCGACATGTGTCGCAAACCCAGTGCGATCATACCAGGCCTCGGAAAAGGCGAGTATAATCACAAATTAAAACAGACTTTTGGGGCATAGTCTGAAATATGACTTCTGACTATACAAGGACTATATGGGGCTAGAGTTGCTCATTCTTCCGACCATGACGTCTAAGTGTTGCCAAGGGTCCTATAACGACTTTGTCCTCGGAAAACAGAAAAATCGAGTTTGTGTAGGTGTCACAACCGTGTTTGAGGTGCCTTCTGTATGGCCGTCTTTTCCAGATGTTTGAAGTGTGGGATTGACCGCTTCAGCTTTCGAGCAAAGTTCACCGGGACGGGCAAACGAGCACTTCAGGTTTCTGTTTCAAGCGCCTATTTTCCAACTTGCACCTTAGGGCTTACGATTTATAGGGCAACTTGCATTTGACGGGTCAGAAAATCAAGATAAACGAACACGCGCGCAAATCCAGCCCAACCGGCAGGAAACGGCGCTTGTGGCAGTCCAAATCTTCTGCACAGGCTCACGAACCATGTGGTCTGATTGAAGGCCTTGCATTCGTTTGAGCTTATGTAGTTCCTTGAGGTTTTGGACGTCGAGCCATTTGCAGCTGCAGAGGCGTGGCAACTCACGCATTGCAGCATGATGGCGAAGAAAAGAGCAATCACGGCTCGGCCGTGAGGTGCTTTAATCGCCAACGATGCGTGGCATCATCCAATCCCCAGTCGATGGCCAAAACTCTCCCACTACTGAGCTGGGATCGTGCCGTTCGATAAGGGTTTCAATAGATGCCTGCCGGTGCAGATTAAGATGGCTTACAGGTTCAAGATGCTACACGACAAGATACATATCACAGCACTGCCCACCGAAAGCCCAGTACAAAATTCTCAAGACTCTTACTGTAGGTCAAGGGTCTGTGAGCTTCGGTCTGTAAATTACCACTTGGCCTGGAAGGCAGAAACCTGGGAGGTGGAATGTGGGCTTTATGCTCCATGAACCAGGGGACCATGCTATTAACCCAAAGTCTTTCACACATCCCACACCCCCCCCCCACCACCACCACCACCACCACCACCACGACCACCACGACCGCCACCACTAAATAGACTACCACGTCCACCACCACCAGCACCACAACCACCACCAACACCACCCCCGCCGCCACCGCACCCGCCGCCACCACCGTCACCGCCGTCACCGCCGCCACCACCGTCACCGCCACCGCCACCGCCACCGCCACCGCCACCGCCACCGCCACCGCCACCGCCACCGCCACCGCCACCACCACCACCACCACCACCACCACCACGCCTCCTCCCGCCACAGAATACTTAGCATTTTTGTGTAATAAAAACCGTTCTTGTTATTAGCAGAAGTAGAAGTAATCGTTTTGATCTTCATTACCTGATAGCTATGTATAGAATTACGCATATTAATACTATGGTACTGGGAAAGAACGCCAGAAATGCCTCCCCACCGATAGACAGATAGATACATGGCCTCACAGCTGGACACACAGGAAAAAAAACTAGATACAGAGGCAAAAAGATACGTAGACAACAGATAAACAGATAGACAGAAAGACAGACTGCCAGCCTGCCAGACAGATAGACAGACAGGCAGAGAGATAGATGGGTAGATAGATAGACAGATATGTGGATAGGTGCATCGATAGTTGCATGGAGAAACGGGAGGATCATGCATATATGGATAAGATGAACCTTGAAGACACAGAGAGATAAGTTACATGTCAAGCTAAATGCCGCTATACACCTTGGGTTTAGATTCCTGTCTTTTCCAGTCTAGGCTTGAGGGTTTTGGCTTTGGGATAAACGGTTTCGGGCTTCAGCAGGATCCAACTTCCGGTAAATGGACGAGCAGATGGACCAGTGCAGGTGCTTTAGCAGCGGCTGCAGTGCCACATCGGCCCCATCAATTCAGCAAGATTTCCGTAGACAAGCTCGATCTAAACCCTAAACCGCAAACCCTACCGGAAAAGACTATTGTCTCAAACTCTAAACCGCAAACCCCAATCTCGACCTATGGAAGCCCCAAACTCAACACAGCTCGGCTCAAATACACGGAGCATTTTATTTTGTGTTCTTGTGGCGGAATTTCGGGTGCTTCCCGTTGGGCTTTGCAGCTTCAATGGGCGGCGGATGGGGGTCTAAGGCCCAGGGTTTGGGGTTTGGGGGTTTTGATGTCCTGGGCTTGAGCATAGAACCTTGTGTCTTGTACTTTGCGTGCGTCGGAGAACACTTAGTCTACTGGAACCTGGTGCTGTGTAAACTTGCGAAGCAAGACATCGCGTTCAAGCATTAGAGTGGCCCGATGGCAGGGTTTGGGGTTTGTCAAAGCCCAAACCCCACACCCTGCACTCCAAACCCTAAACCCTTCTGACATTGCTGGAAGATAGTGATTTGGAGATGGCGAGGGTGGGGACCAGGAGGCCACCAACGTCTCAAGCATTGCAAACACTCTGAACCGACACGCCGAACCTTGATCCCTACTACCATTGTGCTGCCATTTGCACCTACGAGAACGCCCCCTTTCTCAAAACAGATATGTATGTGCACGTAAATAGACAGATAGGCAAGCAGGCAGGTAGGTATGTATGTATATTGTTTGTACGCCTAGATGTATATGTATATGCATATGTTGATGTCAGTGTATGTAGTATACATGTATGTGCGTGCATGTTGGGTGGTAAGGATGCTCGGATCCAAAATGGTGGTTGCCAGGAAGGCCCCTGCTTCGAAAACAGTTCAAGCATAAAAACGGATACCGCGAAATCCTCGAAAACAAACCCGAAAGATACGGGGCTTGTTTAGACACAGTCGTTGAACAGCCGCCAGCTGCAAAGTTGTAGGTTGGGTAGTGAAAGCTGTTCGGGGGATGTGAGCTAGGCCCTACAACACCAAACCATAAGCCCTAAAATCTGAACCCCAAACAAGCTGCAGCAAAAACTCTCACAAGGTGAGTTTTAGGACACTTTGGCATGGCGTTTTTTGAGCTGCCGGGTGAACATGTGGGATGATCCTCGGCTTTACGACAGGACATTGCAATTATCTCAAAAACTTGTTGTTACTTTTTGTTTGTGTGTGCTGTGGTGGGCGAGGTCCCTTCACTATCTTGAATATCCTAGGTTCCCCAATAGCAAGGGTACCCTTTTTCCTACTCTTTGGTGTTGATAAGAGAGGCCACAAGAAAAAGGCGGCAACAGGGCACTACTGGGGAACCTAGTATCTTGTTATCATTGCATCACTAGTTGCACGGCGTTTACCACTGTATAGCACCTTTCGCCAAAGGAACCCCAAGGCCATGTTTGGGCACTTTGCAATGCAGGGCCCCGGCACGAAGCAGCTAAGGTGATCCATCTTCCACATGAGGCCTTCGAAAGGCCATCAATAGAAGCCGAGTAGGTTCTGGGTTTGGGGTTTAGGGTCCATGGTTTTGTGTTAGCCACAATAATATCTTTAGTCTCAGGGCTTCTTTGTGCCGGCTGTGTTGAGCGGGCGAAAGCACGAATGTTTCGCCCTCCGATTTTCTGGAACAAGGGTGAACTGCAACAAAGTACAGTGCGGCCCATGTCACTAAATACATGATGTAAGTCGGCACATGCTCTACTGGTAATTTTCGGTTGCTTCTGCAACTGGACAAATTCTCACTCTTATAATATCTTATAAGGCTACCAACACGAAAATTGAGAGCGTCTCCATGTGTGCTTCAGATCAGTTCTACTGTGGCTGTCGTCAGTGCTTGGAGGGTCGGGGGACTTCGTAAGTAGGTAGTAAGTCGACTTGTAAGTACCCGAAAAGGGACCCTAATTGGGGTTATGGTACTTATAAGTCCCTAAAATAACTAGTTACTAAGTCCCCCGACCCTCCAAGTGCGCACCGGCGCTCTGGCAAACTCCTCATCTTAAGCATAACATGGGTGGTTGTCTAAATTAGGGTCACTTTTTGGGTACCCTAAATATTAGGTGCCGTAGTATAATAAGGACCCAAAAAGGGACCCGAATATTGACAACCACCCACATGTAATTAGAAATCGGAAGGAATTACTTTGGAAGTTGTTCAGCCGTCTATGCTAAGTACGGTGTGCTCGGCTTGCTTGGTATACTGAAACTTAGCGGCCCGGAATCCCAAAGCCCAAACACTCTGAACCTTAACCCTAAACCCATACACTTCCTGGAGTATAAGATAGTTGCATAGATCCTAATAGGTTAAGGGGCTATCTAGGGCCAGGGCTTCTTAATCAGGCTCCTACCTTAAACCTGGAACCTTTAAGCAATCAGGAACCCAAAAACCCTAAGCAATAAACTTCCAAAAACCCTAAACACTAAATCCTAAACCCCTAAACCCTGAAAACCAAACCCTAGACCATAAGCCCTAAACTGCAAACCCTGAAGCCTAGTTTACTGAACACCGAGGCCGCAGACCTCCTTGGCGATTCATCTCCAAGAGCTGCAGCTTGCTGCTCCCGCTGCCTGCTTGCGGGCTCTTGGGGCTTAGGAATTTGGTTGTAACGGGTTCGGATTTTAGCGTTTTGGGTTGAGGATTTCGGGTTTAGGGGCCTGGGTTGAGGGTGTAGGGTTTAGGGTCTGAAATTTCATTGTACCTACGGTTTAGGGTTTAGGGTCCAAGGTTTATCACCTTTGATGGCTGGCGCCGTACCCCTTTCTCAACCCGTAGTTCCACAAACTCCCTACCCTGGATCCTAAACTCTACCATAAGCCGGAATAACCTACCGTTTTAGGGTTCCTTGTTATGATTTCCTTATATAAGTCCAGAAAAAGGTAGGCTATTCCGGCTTAAGGTAAAAGCTAAACCAACAAACTAAACCTCCCAAAACCGTTGTTTCTTAGTGTTTTGGAACGCTTGGGGTTTGGGGTGTCTTAGCGTTTTGAGGGTGTGTGGGGCTTCAGGGTTTAGGGTTTGATGTCTTACATGCCGAAAAACCTGCACGCAAACACAAGAGAGACAGAGAGAGAAAGAGAGATATTGAGTGAGTGAGTGAGTGAGTGAGTGAGAGCGGCATGCTGGCCAGGCCGGTGTGTCTGCAATCTGTGGATTTTGAGCGGGGCGTAGTCAAAGCTAGTGTTTTAGGGTTAGGGTGTTTCAAGATTTGGGATGCAAACTTCAACTCCCCCCAGAACCCCTGAAACCTAACCCTCTCTACCCTAAACCCTGAACGAAGGGCTTTCAGTAGTGCTGCCCTAACGGTAGGATCCTTGTGTTTTAGGTGCTCCTCGACCCGCTAGTAGGAGACTAGATTCGGGTTCAGGGTTTGGGGTTCAAGGTTCAAGCTTCAGAATTCAGGATTCAAGGCTTAGGGCTTCAAGTTTACTTGGAGGATCATGGGACTTAGTAACTATAGTTATAAGCCCCTTAATTGGGGTTATGAATAATTATAAGTATAGTTTCCCCAATACTAACCCTAGTTACTAAGTCCCATGATCCTTTAAGTAGAGTTTAGGACTCAGACTTCAGGGTTACCGGTTCAGGGTTTAGGGTTACCGGTTCAGGGTTTAGGCCCAAGTTTAGGTATACGAAACCCACCGTCCCAAGCATCCTTCGGCGCGGGGATCTGGAACCACCAGCGAGGGCAGTGCGTCCATGACTGCGAGCCTCAGTGCACATAGAATGCAATGAATTTTGGGCAGAAGCCCCTCACAAGTGCCCTCGAGGTTCTGCATGTCTCATCACAACGGAATGCTAAACACAAAAAAACGCATCCAAACCCTCAAACTCTAAACCCTAAACTCAGAGTTAAACCCTATACCCTACACCAAACCTTCGATACCAAAAAGAACATCAACTCATGAACGCCATGTGTCTAGCCGCCAAAGTCTGCCATCCAAAAGTCGCAGGCGCTCAACTCCTCATAACCCCCATAATATTTTTTTGGGGGGGGGCCTTAATAATTAGAATCGGGCTTTGGTGTATTTTATACTGTATAGTAACGAACTACAATAATAGTATAGGTCATTCTTAAGGCCACTGTAATTTCAACCCCCCACGGCGCTGTCACCCTGAACTCTGATTGCTAAAAGAAAACGCCACAGCCCTGTAGAGAAGAACGAAAAACTCTGCCCTATCACCCGAAGCATCAAGCCGTTAAGAAACTCGTACTATAGGGGCCTTAGTAATCAGAATAGGGTTTTGGGGCCCACTATAGTATAACTATCATAAGGAACCCCCAGAATAATCTTGGAAATGATTTGGCCCTTTTTTAATCCTTGCCAGAGGCGCCAGGCGTCGCGATGATGAGTCTCCTCGGGGCTCTGAAGCCACTGCTTCAGCAGGTACTCCTGGAGTTCAGCTCACGAGTCCCAAGCCTAGCCACCTATCGTGAAAAAAGCAACCTATGTAAACCCCTAGACCCTAAGCTCTGCAGGTCAGTGGTACAATTTCATGATGATAGTGATGATGATGAAGATGATGATGATTCTCATCTTTCATATGTTACTATTTTTCTAATTTCCTCGGCCTATCTTCTGAACCCCTCCTAAGAGTTAAACTTTCAGCCTCCTTAGTATAGTTCATATAGAAGCCCAGAAAGTTACAGCCCTAAGAGCCAACCAGAAGAATGCCAAGACTTTCATTGCATGCATATGGACTTCGTGTCTGAAACACACAGACTCACAGCCCGAAACTATGAATGGCGGACCCCAACCCCTGAACCCTCAGACTTAACGTTAGGCGCCTGGTTAAGAAACCTTGGCGCCGGATGCCGCGTGGCACGAAGGAAATTCGACGAGCACGACGCTTTCGGGCTCTCTTTGATTAGGGTTTAGGTGTTAGGGCGGAGGCCTTGATATGGGTGGTGGTCAAGATTAAAGTCCCTTTTGGGGTACCCTAAATATTAGGTGCCGTATTATATTAAGGATCCAAAAAGGGACCCTAACTTTGACAACCACCCCTATGAACTTCAGGTAGGGCGGAACGAACGTCTTACATGAGCAGCATGTTACTTGGAGGGTCGGGGGACTTAGTAACTGGTTACTTTATAGACTTATAAGTACCATAATACCAATTAGGGTCTCTTTTAGGGTGCTTATAAGTCTACTTGCTACCTACTTACTATAAGTCCCCCGACCCTCCAAGTAGACCAGTCTTCCAAGGCCCAGTGTGAAGACAAGATTGGAGCTTCTGGCCTTCGCAGTTTACCACGTCTTAGACGCTGAACCCAGAGACTCCAATATGGGAGCTTCCGAAACCAGGGGACCCTAATATAGCACCCTAAATAGTAGGATCCTTGTTAAAAGGACCCCATTTTAAGGTACCCCTTGTGTTGGGAAACTCCCATATCCCTTAATTCAGGAATATACCTTAAACCATCTTAGGGATCCTGCTATAATTTGAGGAAAGTTTCCTTAATGAAGGGAGATTGGAGATCCTACTATAATTTAAGGTATATTCCTTAACTTAGGGAGATTGGAGTCTCTGGGAACAAAGCTCGGGCCACGGCGTAGTAAGAGTCTGCCAGGGCGCCCATGGCAAGCCTGACCGCGGTGGCCGAAACTCGCAGGTAACGAGAAGCAGTATCATCATTAACAACATGGGTGGTTGTCAAAATTCTGGTGCCTTGTGGGGGTCCTTATTTTAATACGGCACCTTGTATTTTAGGGTACATAATAAGGTACCTTAATTTTGACAACCACCCACATCACCAATACCATGAAGGCTTTCTGCTACTATAGTGCGGCCCTTCATCTCATCTTACATCCGACCATGGTGTCGAATCTAGTTCATTGTTGGGATAGGATTAAACATGTACATTTTTATTCCTTATTGGGTTCAAGTACCCGTAAACATGTAAAATGTTACCCAGCTATGACAAGGAATCCTGCCTGTCGGGCATCAGCTGGGGTTTGCCACCTTCGGCTGGCGTGAGGTGAACCGGTACCAGCCCGTCGGCACCTGTGGATTCGATCTTCAGGTCAGGAGTCAGGGCTTTCAGGGTTCAGGGTTTAGGGTTTAGGGCTTAGGGTTCAGGGCTTAGGGTTTAGGGTTTAGGGTTTAGGCTTTAGGGCTTAGGGTTTAAGCTATTTAAGTAACCAGGGAGAAAAGTATAAACTGTTATTTCATAATGGTTCCTTTGAGAAAAAAGTATGAAAGTATGGCACTCCAAAGCCCAGGAGTGGTGGGTTTTGGAGATCGTCCTGATCAACAGAGGCCTTAGACACAAGCGTGATCAGTGCAGATTAAACCTTGAGTCCGGGACCCTAAAACCCCAAACCTGAGGGTTTATGGTTGAAGGCTTTGAGATAAGCGACAGCCTTACCAAACACTAGAAAGCCCTAAACCTAAAATCTTTCTTCCTAAATCCCATACCCCTGAAGCCCAAATCAAGATCAGAGTCACTTCAGTGCAAACTCTCCTCTAAACCCCTTCTACCCGCCCGCCCCTGCCGCAAAAGGGGATCACGGTTTAGGGTTTAGGGTTTAGGGATCCTCCACGTCATAATAACTTGCTTTGTCTGGAGCCCTGCTTAGTAAACGCCCTCCTTCAACAAAGATGTTGATTGAAGAGGATCCCAATCCTGGGACCCTTAAACTAAGGACGAGGGCATTTATCAAGCAGGGTTTCGCTGGGACATCATGCCTGCATCGCGGATGGCTTGCGAAGCCACTTCTGCTGCCTGCCAGCGGTCTCCGCTCAACACCCTTTTGGTTTTGTTCTTACTGTAGGCTTCGCTGCATTGTCATTATGCTTCTTTCAACGCTGGTGCTCATGCTGATGCTATGCTCTGGGCTGCTGCGGGGAACTCCTCCAAATACTACTGCACGGACGATGACATCGTTTGCTGAACTTCTATCCTTCCACTTCTATGGATTTAGCGTTTAGGGTTTAGGGTGCAGGGCCTTTCCGGCAGGCAGATAGCTCCTGTTGAACATGCGCCCGAGGAAGGAGTGGCACCACAAGCGCATTTAGGGGTTGGGAGTTTGGGGCTTAGGGTTCAGGGTTTGCAGCCTACCGTAAACTACCAAAACCTACTTTTTTGTAGGTTCTTATTATAAATGCTAATACGGGACCCTATTAAAAAGGCGGTTTTGGTAGGTTAAGGTAGAGATTGTGCACCGCCGGCCTTGCTGTAGCGTAGATCTCCCGTCACTGCAGAGAGATAGCCTCGACCAGGCCGGGATAGACGTGATCATGTAAAGTAGGGGCCCAGGAGGGGCCTGAATAACTACCAATAATTACCAATGATTACCAATAATTACCAGCAATTACCAATACTTACCAATAAATACCAAAAATTACCTATACTATTTTTGATTTTTGGGGGGGGCTCCTTATTTAGGATTATACTATGTTTTTTCACGTTGAAAAATATTTACCAATAATTACCTATACTATTTTGGTGGCTCCTTACTTAGGATTATAGTATAATACACCCCCAAAACCTATTCTAATTATTGAGGCCCCTACCGTAAAAAAAAGTATGGCCATTTGTTCCTAGCAACCCCAAGAAGGAAAACACAAATAGTCACTTGTCGATGTTTCTCGGGAGCCCTGTATGCACTCACAAAAACACTAGCACAAACCCAAAGCCTAAGCCCTTCACCCCAAACCCGTAACCCCACTAAACCCATAAAACCCCAAACCCTTCACCCCGAAACCATGCACTCAGAGCCTCTCGTGCACACCCCTCAGGTTGTCATATACTCAATGCCTGGCGCCGAAAGATCAACAACTCTTTACCATGGTGGTTCTGAATGTTTTTTTGCCTGCTACATTCGATTCCGGGATTGGGACACGGAGTTTTAGAAAGCAGGATACGATCATAGAACCCTAGGATCGTCACTATACTGCAAATCGGGAACCCCAAACTCTGACCAACGCTACAGCCCGAAACCCCACACCCTAAACCCTGAGCCCCCAAAGCCGTGTCACAGCCCAAAACTCCAAACCCTCAGCCGTGATCCCTAAACCCCAAACCCTAACCCCTGAAGCCCTAAGACCCTAAGCACCAAGCCCACAAGCCCCACACCCTCACCCCTAAAACCCTACCTTAAACTACCAAACCCTACTTTTCTGTAGGTTCTTATTATCAACCCTAATACGGAAATTATAGGGACCCTACAAAAAAGTCGGTTTTGGTAGGTTAAGGTAAACACTAAGCCCCAAGCCGAAACCCCCAAGAGGAACCCCGACTTGGGTTGCTGTGCCGAGCTGCGGAACTCGAGCTGAAAGCTGCCAGCCTGGCCGCAAAAAATGGCTCCTTTTAGGTTACCATAATAGGGATCTATATTTTTAAAGAACTTAGAACCCTAGCAAAAATTAAATTTTAGCTGTTTCTTAGAAAATTATAATAACCAAAATTTAAAAATATTTCTAGGTACCCCTAAGTTTAGGTTACCATAGTAGGGATCTATAAGGGCTCCTCTAAGAGTCTCTGAGAGATTTAGGGTTGTGGGCTTTAAGGGTTTGGGGGTTGTGGTTTAGAGGGGTTTGGGGGTTTAAAGGGTTTAGTTGATTTACGGTTTGGGGTTTAGGTTGCTTTAGAATGCCGCGGCTCCTTCTGGTGTTGAGGAGCCTTTGGTTTAGGGTCCAATTACTGGAAGACACTAGAATTAAAGCCCCGAAGCTTACTCCTAAACCCCTAAACTTTAAACCCCTAAACCCCTAAACCCTAACCCCTAAACCCTAAATCCTAAACCCTAACAGGAGTGTATAGACCACTAACATGAAACCCTTAGCCAACCAATTTTTCTAGCACCCTTAGAATGCCACACAACACACTAAGCACGCAAAGCTCTAGACATAAACCAGCTTCGCTCCATGCTTCTTCAAGTTTCAAGTTTCCATATCTTCTCAACCTTTCGTGCTCCTACTTCAGAAACCTAAGAGGGGGGTCTCTAAATTCCGGGCCCCTTTTCGGGTGGTCCGGCATTTGAGCAGCAGAAGAGGAGTGTATTACAGTATGCAAGCGCACAAAGGGCACAAGCACCTTAGAATCTTAGGGTTTAGGGCTCATAGGGTTTATGGCTCTTAAGAGAGCCCTAAATCCTCAAACGTACACCCTCCCCCAACCCCTGAAACCCGTGACTTCTGGGGCTTCCGGCTCACAGAGAGTGAGAGGGTGAGAGAGTGAGAGAGTGAGAGAGAGAGAGAGAGAGAGATAGCACAGAGTGAAGAGAACTGCCGAAGTCGAGCCTCTGCTAAGATCGTGGGCTCCTTCCGCGGGTCGTAAGTGCTCTTACCCAGCCCGCGGGCGAGGTTCCACCTGTTCAGGCCACTTGCGGTTCCATGAGGGTCTGGGGCATGGCTTGCGGAGTTTACAAGTTTTAAGGTTTGGGAAGAGGGTTTTGTTGGGATTTGGGGTTTTCGGTTTAGGGGTGTAAGGGGTTTGGAGATTTGGATTTTGGAAAAGAGTTTGGGGTTTATGGGAACTTGAGAAGCTACGGGACCGTCATCTGAAATCTAGAGCCGGCTAGGTTAGAAGCCTGCAACACAGCTCGGGACCGCGCGAGCATAGCGGTCACCGCAGATGAAGCCTCCGTGTCCCTTCGTGCAACAACGATAACTCCACCCAGATTGCGCAGCTTTGCACATGGCCTGCTTCGTCAGCAAGATTTGCCACATGAAGCAGCGGAAGTTTGCGTCGTCATCGTTCGTGATTCTCACGGCTTCGCAATGGAACGGTCCGGAAGTACTTCTGGCATCCCTCAGACTCCAGCTCCATCGTCCGCAGAGCCCACACCAATGGACTCAGAATCGCCGTAAGCCGGGCAAGAGCAAATCGCCCTCTCATAAAGGCACGAAGCCAGCAGCGGCACAAGCATTAGGACCCTCACTATTCTACAGGATTTTGAGTTTAGGGTTGAACGAGGTTAGAGGTTTAACTGGGGGCTTGAGGGCTTCGGGTTTAGGTTTTTGAGTTCAGGGTTGAAGCAGGGTTTGGGGTTAAGCGGGGGATACGTCGTGCTCTTACTAGGGATCTTGTGACATGGAGCGTCATGCCTGAATTAAACGGGGGTTTTCTTGCCTAAGATCGCGGGATAAGCAGTGAATTCCGATCGAAGGCTCGATTAGCAACCCTGAACTGACACCCAAAAACTAGGATACCCAGTAACCTAAGAATAAAAAGGCCTCTCTTTTTGGTATTGGGTAACTTTATAAGGAACCTAGGACTACAAAAAGGGAATAAGGATACTACTGGACACCCCAAAAAGTCTCCCCACGAAATGTGCTCAGCAGGAGACAAACTCCTCGTCCAGCCTCGGGTCATAATGCATGCACTTAAGCAGGCAAGAGCATTAAGCCCGGGTACATTCATCCCTGCGCACCAAAAGTCGGAGATTTTGCTAACTGCTGCAACGGCTATGAAGTTTGGAGTTTACTATCACGTACAGTGAAAGGACCCTAACAGACATTGATCGGCATTTGGATGGCCCATTGCACACACAGTCACCAAACATAAACGTCAAGTCACAAGAATCTGTTCCTTACGAAAAATATCCTAAGGCTGAAGGTCTACAAGAACCCGGACCCCCTAACATAAACTGTAAATCGTCCATATACGAAATGCGAAATTAAACAAAGCAGGCTGAGGATGAAGGAAGAAACGATGCTCCAAATGGAACCCTAAAAAGGGTTCTATGTACTGTTATGAGGAGTTCTCCCCTGCATGATAATAGTAAGTCTTAATATAGAGACCCTACATTCTAGAAGAGTACATAGGACCCTTTAACCCTATCATCTAAGCCCTCAACCCTAAACCCTAAGCCCCAATCTTGCAAGCCTGGGCAAAGGCAGACCGGATGAAGTGTTCATGGCTGGAAGAATCCTGGATACTATAAGGGTACTAGAATATACTTAAAGGACCATGGGACTTAGTAACTATAGTTATAAGCCCCTTAATTGAGGTTTTAAGTAATTCCAAGTATAGTTACCCCACTAATAACCCTAGTTACTAAGTCCCATGATCCTTTAAGCAGGGTTGCACAGGATGCTGAGAGGTTGTTTGACGTGTTGTTTTCATAAGGCTACTATGGGCTGTTTCAGCAGTAGTCGTGGGGCCATATTGCTGGTTGCTTCCAAGGTTTATCGGGTCCGTTCCCTAAACCCCCGCCAGCTGTACGGCCCGAGAAAAAACTCTGCTTCCTTCTATGGGTTGAGGGCTTAGGGTTACTTCCCAAGTGGCCATGGGTTGAAAACTTCACACATTTCAAAACAAGACTACCTAATAAGAGCTCCGAGAGCTGAAAAGTTGGGTTTTAGACCAATAAGAAGACTTTATCAGATCCCCAAAGCGAAAAGGATGAGCTCTGAATCTACACCCGGCGCGCAAACCCTTTCCCACTATGGGAGGGTTCGTGACATTCAGGACCCCTTGTATAGGGGGTTCTGGCTTGTGGCCCTTTCAAATTTCAGGCTCACTCTTTATGGTTGAAGGCAGAAAGTTGGAACATCATTATCCTCATGCCCTTAAAGGTAGAGTATAAGGGATCCTACTATATGTTCTGAAGCTCCCACTTTGAGCTTGTTACCCCCTAAACTCTCACAGTTGAGTGGTTGTCAAAATTATGGTCCCTTTTTGGGTACCCTAAACAATAGGTGCTTAAGGACCCAAACAGGGACCCTAATTTTGACAACTACCCAATTGTGCTTGGAATTGAAGGGCACTCGGTCTTCTCTGGATGTACAGGTACTTCCACGCCCTTTTACATTTTTGGGTGCATTGCAACCAGGAATCCTTATTATGGTGTTTGATAGACAACTCCTTGAGAAGGGAGCTCGGATATGTGAGGCACAGGAAGACCCTACGCCCCGTGGAACTCTGACATCGGCTCCGCGTTCGGGGACTACTTAAAGAATCATGGGACGTAGTAACTAGGGTTATTAGTGGGGTAACTATACTTATAATTACTTACAACCCCAATTAAGGGACTTATAACTATAGTTACTAAGTCCCATGATCCTTTAAGTATATTCTAGTACCCTTATAGTATCCCTTATAGTAACCCCTTTAAAGGAACCCTAGGAACCCTACCTCACTTACTAAGTCCCATGATCCTCCAAGTAGGTTTGCCAGAGAACCAGGGACCCGGGACCGGAGAACCCAGAGACTCCAATATCCCTTAATTACTCACTGCTTAGGGTTTAGGGTTAAGAGGTTTAGGGTTTAGGGGTTTGGGGTTTAGGGGTTAGGTTTCACTAACCGGGCCCCAAAATGTTCAAGCTTTCTACTCACGGGCCCAAAACCCAAGGAAATAAAACTTGAAACTTTCAGGATCGACTACCTAATAGGAACCCCAAAAGTCGAAAAGCTGAGTTTACAGCCAATACGATTAAGGAATATTCCTTAAATCATATTAGGGATCCTACTATAATTTAAGGTATGTTCCTAAATTAAGGGATATTGGAGTCTCTGGGAAACGCTAACCCCCCGAACGGGATTGGAGTTTAGGCTATATATAAGGCCCTGAAACATCAACGGAGTCCTCTCCGCAAGCTCGATTGCACGCTCCAGGAAGATTTGCCTGAGACGAAGTGCAAGTGCATTGTTTCTGCTGAAGCCCAGAGGGATCAGAGCAGTTGGCAAGTAGGGTGCTTAAGGTAGATACGCACACAGCTACCTTACCTGTAACCCTGCTTACCAAGTCCACCGATCCTGCAGATTCTTAGGTTGAGCTTGGGGTCTGGAGGACCTAGTCTAGGGTTGAGACACTCTGGTTCAGCATCGAGGGCTTCAGTGGAGCGGGCTGGGGGCTTGCTTCTAGCTCACATCTTTGTCTAGGAACAGGCTTGCCAATTGTTCAAGCTCTTTGTATAGGCAGCCAGAGTGTAACCGACTCACGCGAACTAGAAAAAGACAGAGCATTCCCGAAACAACTCCGGTTTGGAGCTGTAGATTCATACACGTTTCATGACAGGGGGCTTCAGGCTTAGGGGCGAGGATTCATAGCCTGCACCCGTAATCGCGATGCAAAGTCAGACATCAAACGTGAACCCAAAGCCTTTTAACCCGGATCTGTTGTTACGGCATCGAGTGTTCTGACTGTTACACTACCTGTAGCCGAAAAGGCGTACTATTCTGACCTTTTTAGGGCTCCTTACTATGGTTTCGATATGTAGCTCCTTAAAAAGGTAGGTCTTATCGGCTAATGGTACGGCTGATGATCGAAATCCTGCATTACCCAGAAACTGGAATATACCATGATTCCCATAGTCTGGGATCTTTTAAGGGTAGTGCAGGATTTGTATCATCAACCGTATGCTAGCGTGACATTACCAACACAGCTCTGCATATTTAATCGGACCCGAAATCGCACCCTCGGCATCTAGCTGGTGAAGGTTTTTAGGATCTGAAGCCAAAAGCTCTGCTTGAGGGTGCACGGTTGGATTGTTGTAGTATTTTTAGTTGGTTTACGTATGGAAATTTCTCAATCAATGGGTCTATCTCTCGCTCTTTCGGTGTGCCTCGGCGTTGTTCGGAGTTTGCGGTTGAGGGTTGTCAGGACTTATTAGTGACTTAGGGTTTGTGGACTACAAGAAGCCACAAAGCACAATCCGGGGCAGCTCGACAGGAAGAACCCATGCGGAGAACACGATTTGCGGTGCAAGCGGACACGCGATCATCCGGCGCTGTAAAAGGCCCAACGATATTCAGGGCCCTGGCACAACAGCATTTACTGCGTGCATCCGTGAACCGTTAGCAGCTGGCGCTTTGGCTGGACCCGGCCCCCGTCCTAGATTACGCCCAGTGGATTTGCAAATGGGCTTGAGTAAGCTGACAGAAAAGTCAAAAACTGAAACCATGTCTCGTGGTACGTAAATCGAAAGCCCCGCCAAATGTCTCGGCATGTCTCGGCCTTACTACTCCTGCCATTGGTATTGTCAATGATGAAAACAAAAATAATCAAGCTATGACAGTCTGTTGCTATTCTCATTATTATGGTCAAACTATGATTCTGATTCTCATTAGTATCATCATTGTTGTTATTACTATTGCTACTGCTATTACAATTGCTACTCATGTTACTATGTCTACTAGTATTCATATTCCCTTCTCCCTTATTCTTATGCTTTCTACCACTACCACTACCACTACCACCACCACCACCACCACCACCACCACCACCACCATCACCACCACCACCACCACCACCACCACCACCACCACCACGACCATGACCTGACCACGACCACTACGACGACGACGACGACACGCTTCGACTACTAACACCGCTGCTACGAGTGTTGCAAGTGCTACTTTTGCTGCTATAGTGCTACTACTGCCACTAGTGCTGCTACTGCTGCTACTGCTGCTACTGCTGCTACTACTGCTACTACTGCTACTGCCACTGCTGCTACTCCTGCTACTACTGCTTCTACTGCTTCTACTGCTTCTACTGCTTCTACTGCTTCTACTGCTTCTACTGCTACCGCTGCTGCTACTCCTGCAGCTGCTGCTTCTGTTGCTGCTGCTGCTGCTACTGCTGCTGCTGCTCTGGTACTCTTGCTGCTACAGCCACATGTTTAAGTAGCTCAGCGGCCAAACCCTATGATGTAGGAACCTGATTAAGAAACCCTGCCTATAACCCCAAAATAGTAGGATTCATGTAAGAAACACTAACAAAAGCCCAAGGTTTCTTAATCAGATTCCTACATTATTATAATACCCTTAAAGATCACTTATAGTAACCCTTATAGACCCCTTTAAAGGAACCCTAATAAAGG